CTGCCATTATGTCCGTCAGTTTTTTCTGATTTTCAAGAAATTCAAACTCAACCATCATTAGTAATAAAAATTGTGACCTCATGGGCCATAATTCAGGAAGTTACGATCCGATATGTGCGAATATCGAAAGGAACAGAGATCTTTGGGTTATAAACTTACATTACCAGTTCCATCAAAACTAGTAGAAAATTGTGGCCTCTAGAGAGTCCACAACCTCGATATATCATATTTTTATGCTATTTGAGTACGAGGGGCGGCCATTTTGTCTGTCACTTTTGGTCCGAATTTTACAAAATTCGAACTCAACCATCGTTAGGGTGTAAACGTGATATATTCAAATGGGTTTTTAAATCAGATAAAAATTATGACCTCTATAGGGTCCATAAGCTAAAAACGCGATTTTTCGTACAATCAGGGGCCATAATTCAGGAAGTTACAGTCAATATGTGCGAATATCGAAAGGAACCGAGATCTTTGGGTTATAAACTTATATTTCAAGTTTCAACAAAATCAGATAAAAATTGTGACCTTTATAGGGTCCACAAACTAAAAACGTGATTTTTCGTACAATCAGGGGCCATAATCCATGAAGTTACGGTTCGATACATGCCAGTATCGAAAGGAACCGAGATCTTGGGGAGATAAACCTATATTTCAAGTTTCATTGAAATCAGATGAGAATTGTGACCTGTAGAGTGTCCACAGACAATTGTGGACGGACAGACGGACAGGGGCGACGACAATATACGTCCACATGAAAATGTGGATGTATAAAAATGATGGATGTGAAATGTTAACATTTGACTTTTAACAGAACCTACCCGTACCCACTCTTCACAATAGTGACATGTTTTATTCGCGACAGCTTTGGACATATAACATTGGTATCCATAATTGCTGTGACAATAGTGCTCAGATGCATATATGGTCTGAGGTGTGCACAGCATTAGATCATTATCTGAGGACACATCACGTAACCTTGTTCTATTTTCGGACAGCTGTGGTGGACAGAATAAAAATAAAATAGTTTTTGCCTAATTAATGCAATTGATTAATGAATAAAAGTTCAAGAATAGACCATTTATTTCTTACAAAAGGTCACACATTCCTACCAAATGATGTTAACTGGGGAGTTATTGACAAGTGTAAAAGTGGGGAAAATAGCGTACATCCCAGATGACTACATAGACATTATAAAATCGGCAAGAACATCAAACACATTCGAAGTATTTCAACTTAATAAACACAACATGCTTGACTTTCAAGAGTTAATCTGGTTCTGTCATGAAATCTACTACATTTACAGATTTGGAGGGTGAAGAGAAGGTATTAATGAGGTTTTCATATGGAGAAACTGTAGAATTTGACCCTGTGGTAGGTGATATGGTAATCAAGAAGCATCAAGAAGAAATATCGGGAAAATATACTTACAACTAACAACAACAGTGGAAAATATATATCTCAATCCTGTTAAAATTAAATATGAGCAGTACAAGGACATTGTCGAAAAAATAGTGAACAAGGGAATTCTCCAACAAAGATATGTCTCGTATTACATAAATTTGGAACATCTAGCAGGCCCAGCAGTTGCAGTCACAATTGTTGATGATGATGATCAAATTGACAGTGATGGAGATGACTGATTATTGATTGTGTAAACTATCAGAGTTAAAAAAAAAATCAACTTTTTTTCACATTGGATAGTTTATGCAAAACGCAGGTCAAGTCCATACTATTCTTACAGATTTTTCCATGAATTTTTTTCGACAATTTACTTCATTCGCCTAAATACTGATTAATATGGACACAATATTCACAAAATTTGCTCAAATCATTGTTTGAATGCATATCCGACCACGTTTTGAAAATTCACATCTTGGTAAAAAGATTTATAAAATTTCACTTTTTTGTGTTTTTCTCACTTTCCAACAAATGTCACTTGACCACCTTTTAGCACTCGGGTCTTCAATTGTAGAGTCACAAAAATATCAACCATTTTCCAATTGACTTTCAATGGGAACTAACATTCCAATAAAACAAGGAGTTAGCTACAAAATACATTATTGTGACCAAATGGAACTACACCTGATGACAAGGAGGGAATAAAAAAACAAAACTGATTGTATACACTGTCCTTATTGGATGTTTGATACAAATATACAGTATGTAATTTGAAAGGAACAATAAAGAAAATGTCATTGAATCACTCTCTGTCATAAAGAAGGATGTAGAAATAATTTGTTTCTGTAATTAAAATATTTTTTTGAACAAAAGTAATTGAAATGGACATAACCCTTCTTCAAAGTGAGTAAAGATCAGAGGACCACATATATTCATCTTGGTGTTTAGAATTTTTTCTCAAAGAAAAAAAATGATTAAAACTGAGATGACCATTCTTTCAATTTAACTACCATAGACTTAATAAAGATAATGTCATTGAATCACTCACTGTCATGAAGAAGGATGTAGAAATAATTTCTTTATGTAATTAAAATATTTTCCTGAAGAAAAGTAATTGAAATGGAGATAACCCTTCTTGAAATTTCAAGTGAGTAAAGATCAGAGGACCACATATATTCATCTCTGTGTTTAGAATTCTTTCTCGGAGGAAAAAATGATTGAAACTGAGATGACCATTCTTCAAATTTAAATACCATGGACTTTTTTTTATTGTACATTACTAATTGGTACATGAGACCTTTGAATGATTAAGAGTATTTTCCTTTTAAAACCAGCTGGTATCACCTGTGACATGTGGGAACCGAGCTTCAGAAATAAGGATGGTTCTTCTCAATAATTGGGATTTGAGGCTTGGACATGGAGAAATGGTTTTAGCTAGTATCGTAATCTGTGCTATGCTTGTATACATGTATTCGGCTATGCTATATAAAATGTAAAAACGAACTGTTGCATTGTTATAACTGAGGAAGACAAACGTCTTAAGAAACCAGTAAGAAGCAAACACACAACGTGAAGCTGAAGTAAAGACAGCTAGAGGCAAATTCTAGACGATCACAAGGCTACAGAAATATGTAGTAAGAAAAGATGCATGGGTCGTATGTAAGATGTGGCGACCAGCCTGGAACACTCGCTCTCCACGTCGGACAGAAAGGCCCATGGTGCTACACTAGTTACATGAGAAAAACACCACATATATTTATTTTTAGTACTTTAGTTGCCACCATGCTACCTCTTTTTATACTATTCCACGTTAAGTTACTCACATTACGTAACAATACGATACCGGACATCATAGCAACTCTTCCACCACAATGGACGCCTGCCACCTTTGTGGGAAAATTTTTTCAAAGAAGTGCCATGTACTACGACATTTAAAGGAAAGACATGCGGCACCAAGTTTTACATGCGCCACCTGCAGTAAACCCTACAGAAGGTTTGAATTCCTGAAGAAGCACAAATGCAAGGGTGTCTTAGCACCTCGCCCGCCCCAAGACCAGGGAGACCAGCTTCAGAAAGTCATCGCCACCACCATAGGGGATCTAGGTACCACCAACCCGGCTATAAACTTTACATCGGAAACGGTATGCGCAGTATCTCCCCCACCTGTGGTCACCACAAGTCAATACCAGAGCCCATGCCATCCTACACCATCAGGGGCACTGTTCCCATGCTTTAGAAACTGGGATTATAACATCTCTACGACACGGTCTGCTCCAGTCGGAGTGACATTTGGGAGAATAGAAACCTGTCCACGGACAGCCTCTCCAAGGTCCACACAGAACTTTGCCTGCAACAGGAGCTTGAGCGAGACCGGACGCTCGCGTGACAACTCTATCCTCTAGATTTCGAAAATTCTTCCTTTATATCTGGTTTAATAAATTACTAACGATCTACCTTCTACATCCTTTTTTTCTTTTCTTTTTTAGCCTCCGGGCCCCAGACCCTACCCGGACCTGCTTTCCCCTATAAATCCAACTAGTTTGAAGAGTTCCAATACGAACAAAACTATTCCCCCGCCTTTGCCCGAAACCCCGATCAAGGACAGACACGTCAACTCTATATCTTACCTAACCCTAGCTTTAATACCGCACCCCTGTATTTGGCACACTTACAAACTCCGCCATAATACCAAACCCCGCCATAATGCCAAACCCCAGTAAAACAACCCCGCCATAATACCAAACCCCGGTAATACAACCCTGGCAATACACGCCAAACCCCGTTAAACTAACCCCGCCAAATATTAACCCCGGTATAAATAGAACTTCACTTTTTGAGTCCAAGCAGTCTGAAGAGTTCAATACGAACAAAACTAGTTACATAAAACGCCCTTTTCTACCTATTAATTTATTTTTGTCATAAAAAAATTTTTCTAGGAAAAAATAATTGAAACTGAGATGATCCTTCTTCAAGTTCCAACTACCATGGACTCTTTCTTGAATCCTGCTTGCATCACCCTGACACATGAAAACACCATTTGTGATTTGATCAAAAATACATGTATTTTCATCTGTGATTTTATGAACAGTATTTCCAAATTTGATTTGATCAACAATATTAACAAACATCAAGTGGTACGTACAAGAATGGGCAGTGGAAAGAAAAGACACATTTTGAAGAGTATTAGCTTGATGCGAGAATACTCTTCAAAAAGTGGATTTCTTCCAGAAGTATTTGTTATAATTTACACTGTAAGAGAAGTTGCCAGGTATCGGTCAGTCCGTAAATGGGGTAATAAATACATACTGTATATAACTGAAACTGAGATGATCATTCTTGAATTTTAACTGCCATGGAATCTTTTATGTGCAATACCAATTGTTAACCAGCGGTTGCCATGCAAGATATGCCCACATTTTGCAAGAGATGGATAAAGAACAAGCAAAAAAAAAAAACTTATTTTTCTTACAAATGGTTTAAAATGCACGAATATTGAAACAATCCAAGATCTTTGGGTTATGAACATACATTTCAAGTTTCATTAAAATCAGATAAAAATTGTGACTTGTAGAGTATCCACAAGCTAAAAACATGATTAATCGTACAATCAGGGGCCATAATCCATGAAGTGACAGAGCGATACATGCCAATATCCAAACGAACCGAGATCTTTGGAGATAAACCTATTTCAAGTTTCGTCAAAATTGGATAAAAATTGTAACCTGTAGAGTGCACCAAAAAATTGTGGACAGACACAAACAAGTTCGTTTCGGGACTAACATATGGTTCAATTCTATTTCAATAATTCACTTAGGCATAGGGGTCTTTAGCAGTGGGAGGCAACCGGAGGGCCCAGAGAAAACCCACGAGATTGGACAGGTGACCCTACTTTTTGTCACATACAACCTGGGAATTCAAACCACGCTAGCTGACTCAATGACAGACCTTATGATACAACATGTATGCGCAAACCATTCGGCCATACAACCCCCCAGGATTATTAGAAAAGTTAACAAATCAACATATTTGGTTGGGAAGGGGCTCTATAAAAAATAGCGTTTGCATTTCATGGAATAGACCTGAAAAAATGTGTATATTTCAGGTTGTGTTATTCCTACTCAGATGTGATTAATAAGACTAGATTAACTCAATTTACGGTAAAATTGCACATATTTTAAAAATCAATGGCTCATTGTCCCTTTAAAATATCATCAATTTCCTAAAAGCATTTCATAAACACGAACTTTTATGTACTGCACTTTTTTTTTTTTTACTACATTGTCTCTACACCAGACACTGTTTTACATCCAGTAGAAACGGTGTTTTGTTGAGATGTGTACCAAATGAAAAACAATTTCCCCCTCCTCCAATCACCAGAATTTTCTTATCCTCTTCCAACATCACACTTGAATGTTGATGAAATAATATCAAGTTATTCTTATCCATACTCTGAAAATAGAAAAAGAAAAAATTATAAGGCAGATGAAATTAACTGTTTATAATAGAGGACCAATTGGATGAGATTGAATCATCCGGATTTCATTCCTGGCTTGCAATCAGTACCAATGGTGCAGAATAGTTAAAAATGGATAACAAATTAACAGTAGCTACCATTCTTGGCAGAACTGTACGCATAATAACTATTTGCTAAGTACTAAGGAAAATGACAACCAGTTTTGCCGGAACCGTGCAGACTCTATAACCATATGACAACGTTAACTGATGGAGCATCTGTGTTAATAGAACACTAATGTTTAAGACATTAACATAACTTCATTGCTTACAGGAAGACTGTACTCCTCACTTTCTCCATTAATAAGACTGACTACTGCTACACCAGGTGTATCATGGGTAAGATTAACTCCACCAATCACTATCATTTGATTTTTTACAATATGACAAGAATGAGAATACCTGAAAAATAGATAAAACTATTTAAATTAAACAAAAAGTCAGGCTGACATGTTATTTAAACAGTAATTTAAAATACTAAAACAAAACAGACAGCAGTGTGAAATATATAGAAACTAATCTAAACTACAAATGACCATAACCTAGATTAGGGATTCCGTAACCTTTATTGGGGATTCCATAATCAATTTAAACAGGTTTGGACCAATATCATTCAATAGTTTAATAGAAAGGCAGCACTGTTTTGTCTTTTTGTTGGGGATTTTCATCAATTATTAAACTAATGATTTTCTATTGGACATGATGTGACTAAAATGGCATTGGTTTATTATATTGACATTGCAATATGATATGAACATCTTAAGTTTTATTTTATGAGTTCTTCAAGGTTTTTTTTTGACGATTTATTGAAATTTTAGATTATCAGAGAAAATGGCATTACTTTAACAATTGTCCAGAGATAAATTAAATGGACAAGTCTATAGTTAGTTTGAAATTGATACAATTTCAAATAACAGTGCCTCCTTTAACTCCATATTCAATTTTTTATTCTGGCTGGTTGTCCCTTTAAGTAAACATTATGATCTTACCTAGGATACAGTGTGCCGTGTACCTCAAGTTTTCTCCATAATAATAAGTCTAGATTTAATATATAAATATCACTACTAGGTAACAGTTGATCATTTAATCCACCATACAATACAATCTCATTATTCCACAGACACAGTGTATGAGATTGACGTGGACCTGGATCATCACCACTACCATTTAACTACAAAATAGAATGATTTACAATTATCACATTAGATAATTAACAGAAGAGATAAGATACCATCTTGATCTGAAGTATCCTGTGTACAAATTGGCGTGCACATAAAAGATCCCTTGGCAGTTGGAATTCGATATAAGAGTAGGCCGTAGCGCCGCTGCCCAGGCAAAATTTCCCTCATAGCACACTGTATGGCATATGCCCGTCGTCATTTGCCCAGTTGAGGAGCAAAACAGTAGGACGTTAAACCCCATTTCATTTCATTTGATCTGCCAGCCTTTCAAATTTTGCCATAGTTTGTTTATCTCATATTAGCAAGAAATTTTTTTCAAAAAATGTGAGAATTTTTAGCATCATCCCAATTTACACATGTTTTTACACATAAAAATTATATATTTAACTGCATTTATCGAGTCTTAAGGTTAGATCTTTGAAATTCTATTTTTATGGCACTGTAATTGACTGACAGTAAAGTTCACCAGTCATTCAAAAGTGGTAAAGATGACTGAAACAATTGGCCGTGGTGTGGACATTATACCTATAAAAAATATTGTATGGGATCAGTTGTAATAAATAAGGACGAAATGTGATGATGATTACCAGATCCAGTTTGACAATTCTGACAGAGCAGCACTAGATTTAAAAGATATAACTGAATAATTATTACCTGTTTCCATTCTCCTGTCACAGTATTTAATATATTACAATCGTTTAAAGTTAGATCAGCCATAGTTCTACCACCATACACTATAACATGTTCTACACCTATAATATAAAATATTATCTGTTAGAGGTTTATATAAATGCAGAAATACATTAATCAATTATAAAGAAAGGAACAACAACAATTTGCCGAGTGAGTAAAAAGGTTTGGCAAACAAAAAGATCTGTGTTAGTACTCTGGATAACAAAATGATACAGAAGAGAAAAGGGTAGGGGGCAACCGGAAAACCTACGTGGGTGGGGAGTTTACTGCTTGTCACATGCAAGCATGAGATAAATATATACAGGAAAACAGTATAGTCCCTCAATAAAACCAGGTACACTAAAATTAGGAATTAAACACAGGAGTTTATAACATTGTTTTAATTCCACCTAAGTCTGATGTACTTCTGTCTAGTAACTTTAATTATCAACATTTAATATCAAAGATTCATGTTATAATTGAGTAAACAGCCAATTTATAGCCTTAACCTGTGACCTCAATTTGCTTTTCCGATCAGATAGATATAAAATGAAATAGGGTTTAACATTCTTATTTGCTACACCAACAGGGTTAATGAAGGAAGATGGCGATATACCATGCAATGTGCTATGAGGGACGTTTTGCCTGGAGATCTGCGTTTTCTCCTACTCTTTATCAAATTCTAATCATCATGGGTTCTTTTACATCAACACCAACAAGTACATAGGTACAAGACGACAATATATATGTTGAATAGATTGGATATTTTCATTTTATTACCTTGATAAATAACATTACAGACTGCATGTCTCCATCTAGGTTCCGGAATATCACCACATTCTTTTAATAAAGTCAATTGAAAATCACAAAATTCAGTTTCTTCTGTCCATGAGTCTTGTGTAATTTGGCTAAATTCTGGGACTATTTCATTCGCACTATTTAAATCTGTGGAAATGTTTGTATTTGTATTTTCACAAGATGCACTAACACTGTTTGAAACTCCTTGACATGGATTTTGTTGAATATTATTAACTGATTCATTAAATTTATCACTAGGCAAGTTCGATTCTGACTCTTCATTTTCATGAGCATTTACAGTTGAATCTCTTGTTTCACTATCACAGATTCGGCTTTGGTCAAGAGAAATATTTGAAGATTGACTGTTTTTCATATCGATATCACATTTAGAAAACTCATTTGTCATTTTATCGGTCTCTGTGGATTTTAAAGAGATAACAATGATGCCTTTGGAAACTTTAAATGGTGAATTTCTGCCACCAATAATCATCACTCTACCATCTTTTAATGACGCTGCTGACAAGTGCATTCTGGGAACTGAAATTAATCAAATAAATCAATGCAAACTACTTCAAAATGACAGACGATTATCGATAAATAATGCCTAAATTTTTGCATAAGAACTGTATTAATTGAACATCTGTATGATTTGAACACTTTAGTCTCAAAATAAATGCCTTATTCCCTACTTATTCTAGTATAAAATTTTGAATAGTTACATTTGTATCAAGACACAAATTTCTGCTTTCTTTAATTAACTGATTCAATTTTACAAACATCGATTTTTACAAGAATATAAACCCACAAATCTTACAATCAAAATCAGGTATCTTAAGCTGTGTTGAACACATTTTGTGGTTTAATGGATTGTATACTCCAATTTCAGTAAGACGTTGATGTCGGCCATCTTGTTCACCAAATCCTCCAAAAATCACAATAAATCTGTTACCAAGGTTACCAGTAATGTGGCTAAATCGTTTAACAACAGGAATGTCCTCATTGTCAAGGAATTCAATATTTACTTTGTTTGGGACTGGAGGATTTCTGTTTATTGTTGGGTATTTAAAATCTGCAAGAAAGGAAGATTAATTAATGCATATAAACTTCTCCTAATTTGTTTTTGTTTCCAATTTTTAGAAGTAACTGAAATGTATTTATATGCAAGTCACTCAATCTAATTAAAATACAGATCTATATTTCGTTTCGTTTTTTATACTTTCGATGGCCTACACTACATGTAGATCTAACAAGTTATAGTGGGAGTTCACGTTCTATGACGTCAGGTACCAAGCAAGCGACATTTGACCCGAATACGTCAGTCATTCGATTAACCAATTAGCGACCGCCATGTATTTTTTATCTACTTTTGCTTTGTTTTGATTTCTATTGCCGCTAATGTCTACCCACAGTTCCGCGCAAAAAAGGTCGAACACTCGATTCGACAGACCATTTGATTGGCTGACCCCTCATTTCAAGCAGAACACAAGTTAAATAACAACGCTTCCAGATCCAAGTGTAGTAAAGACAAGTAAAATCGAAATTTTGAACTATAAAAACGAAACGAAATTGGATATGTGTTTTAATCAGATTGGTAAGTCACTCAATGGCACACACAAATTCATTATGAACACAGTATTTATCAATCACAAATTGTTAATCATTGACAATACAGAGAGGGAGAGAGAGAGAGAGAGAGAGAGAGAGAGAGAGAGAGAGAGATGGGTTTTAACTACACAAACTAGGTCATTTCGGGGCTAACATATGGTTTAATTTTATTTCAATAATTCGCTTGCATGTAGAGGTTTTTAGCAGTGGGAGGAAACCGGATTGACAATACAGATACCAGATACAATAGTCTTGCTAACCTTTCTAATCAGAATATACTGAAGGCTTGTCTGAGAACCAGAATGAAAACAGATGAAAACAAAACTAGTTTCTTAACTTTGTTTCTATCCATAGAACTAAAATTTTAAACACAGACCAAAACGCACTTTGCTATGCAGATTAACACAATTTTTTATTTGCTTTTTACAAAAATCAAGGCGTTCTAGTCATTTTAACAGATCCTACCAGGTTGATAAGTTGTTTTACTAACCTAACAATTTTGAGTCGTCACACATTAAGCTGCTAATACTAGGGGATGAATAAGCCAATAAAACCATATAGTGGTTACATTTTACATGCCATTCTTCATGTTCATCAAATGGTTCAAGTTTTTCAACCCTGTCTCTTTCTGACTGATCAATTAAATTACAGTAAAACTGATTCATGTCATATGCCTCACACCAATTCCAGCCCTGAAAAAAATAAAAACTTATTCTGATACTAAATAACCACCTTGCAATTACTGTACAACAAGTTATAAATATGGAAGGGAAATAGGGTTTAATGTCCACTCAAAATGAGTCATTTTGGGACTAATATATGGTTCAATTTTATTTCAATAAATCATTTTCACATAAGGGTCTTTAGCAGTGGGAGGAAACCAGAGGTCACGGAGAAGACCCACAAGGTTATGCAGATGACCTTACTTTTTGTCACGTACAAGTGAGGTATAGAAACCAGATCACTTGACTCAATGACAGACCTTTAGATCTAAAACAAATGTGTTAGACCAATAGAAACCACTGCAAAAACAATGGGTAAGAAATTAATTTTTTAAATGGATATCATTTCCGGTTCCATTAATTTCCATAGATATTTTTGTTCTCTAACATAAAACACAGAATGGAGTAGTTATCAGGGGCACTAATAAACTTAATTAGATGATGAGCTAATCAATGATGACATTATCTAGTCATAGGTTGCCAGCCAACGACAATGATGCTATATCAACCAAGCAGTTCATAAAGGTTATTACATTATTTACGTGAAATGAAATGGGGTTTAACGTCCTATTGTTCTGATCCGACTGGGCTAATGAAGACAACATTATTTAGGTACTAAAAAGCAAAATCTTTATACTGGAAAATATCAGTGGATAATTAGCTTCCTATGACTCTACAATATAGTCTTTAAACCAAATCAATGAAATAAAATTCATCCAGGACTTCTCCTTTAACCTAACCAGTGGTTGCCAGGCAAGATACACCCACATTTTGCAAGAGATGGATAGAGAACAAGCTAAAAACAAAATCAATTTTTCGTACAATCAGGGGACATAATCTAGAAAGATATGGTCTGAAATGCGCAAATGGTGGAATGGTGATACATTTAAACAATTTTTAAAATCGGATAAAAAAAATTGTGACCTCTACAGAATCCACAAGCTAAAAAAGAACCCATGATTTTTCGTACAATCAGGGGCCATAATCCAGGATTACGCGAATATCAACAGGAACTGAGATCTTTGGGATATAAACTTATATTTTAAGTTTCATCAAAATCTGATAACAATTGCGACTTCTAGAGGGTCCACAACCTTGATATACCATATTTTTACACTATTTGCATACAAGGAGCGGTCATTTTGTCCGGCAGTTTTGGTCTGATATTCAAACTCAGGCATCATTAGGGTGTAACGGTGATATATTCAAACGTTTTTTTTTTAAATCAGATAATAATTGTGATGTCTAGAGGGACTACAAACCAAAAATGCAATTTTTAATACAATCAGGGGCCATAATTCAGTAAGATACGACCCGATATGCCCGAATATAGAAAGGAGCTAAGATCTTTGAAACAAACATTTCAAGTTTCATTAAAATTAGAAGAAAAATCATGACCTCTAAGCTAAAACGTGATTTTTCATACAATCAGGGGCCATAATTAGGGGCGTCACAATAAGACATTTTTTTTACAAATCATTTCAGGCCAGCAATTTCCAGAGGCGAAATTGCTAGCTGAACACGATTTTTAGAATTATTTTTATCTATGACGTCATTTTCGGTTGGGGTTTGTCTGATTTCCAAAATGGCCGCCAAAAGTTGACGTAAAATGAATTTCCAGATAGGATGGGTGATTTTCATGCAAGGTATGGCTTGTAATATATCATATATAAGGTTTTTGTTGTAATTGAACTGAAAAATAATCTCTAAAACTAGTTTCCCCAAATCCAAGATGGCGGAAATTCAAAATGGCGGCTAAAATTGACCTAAAATGGCCGATTTGTCAGATTAAAGTCATTTCACAGTTTGATTTGGTTTGTAATATGTAATCTAAAGGGTTTTCACTGTCACTGAACTTAAAATTAATCTAAAGAAATTAGGGGTGTCACAATAAGACATTTTTTTTACAAATCATTTCAGGCCAGCAATTTCCAGAGGCGAAATTGCTAGCTGAACACGATTTTTAGAATTATTTTTATCTATGACGTCATTTTCGGTTGGGGTTTGTCTGATTTCCAAAATGGCCGTCAAAAGTTGACGTAAAATGAATTTCCAGATAGGATGGGTGATTTTCATGCAAGGTATGGCTTGTAATATATCATATATAAGGTTTTTGTTGTAATTGAACTGAAAAATAATCTCTAAAACTAGTTTCCCCAAATCCAAGATGGCGGAAATTCAAAATTGCATCTAAAATTTACCTAAAATGGCCGATTTGTCAGATTAAAGTCATTTCACAGTTTGATTTGGTTTGTAATATGTAATCTAAAGGGTTTTCACTGTCACTGAACTTAAAATTAATCTAAAGAAAAAAAGAGTTTTCAAAATCCAAGATGGCGGAAATTCAAAATGTCGACCAAAATTTATCTAAAATGGCCGATTTGTCAGATAAAAGTCATTTCACTCTTTGATATGGTTTGTAATACGTAATTTAAAGGGTTTTGAATGTCATTGAACTTAAAATCAATCTAAAATAGAGATTCCAAAATCCAAGATGGCTGAAATTAAAAAATGGCGGCCAGATTTTCTCTAAATTGGTCAATTTTTAAGATAATCGTCAATTTTCTGTTTGATATGGCTTGTAATATGTCCTCTATTAAGTTTTCAGAGTCACTGAATTTGATAATTGTAGATGATTGTTTCAGAAATGAAATGAAATGAAATGGGGTTTAACGTCCTACTGTTCTGCTCCTAACCTGGGCTAATGAAGACGGGCATACGCCATACAGTGTGCTATGAGGGAAATTTTGCCCGGACAGCGGCACTACGGCCTACTCTTATATCGAATTCCAACTGCCAAGGGATCTTTTACGTGCACGCCAATGTGTACACGGGACCTCGGTTATTCGTCCCATCCGAACGACTAGACAGCTTTCCTTGTCAGCCCCTCCGTCCTGCATCACTGACAAGGGAGAACCACGCCGGAAAATCTGGATGAACTTTCTCGGCCAATGCAGGGATCGAACACCCGACCTCCAGGCTAGCGAGCTAGCGTCTTACCCACTTAGCCACGTGATCCCCGATTGTTTCAGAAAAAAAAAGGGACAATCACAATCTTTCTATTGGATTGGTTTATAATAGCAAATTGTAATAGTTTTTTTAGGGCAACTGAATTTGATCTGACCCAGGAATCTACCTTAATCTAAAGAAAAAAAGAGTTTTCAAAATCCAAGATGGCGGAAATTCAAAATGTCAACCAAAATTTATCTAAAATGGCCGATTTGTCAGATAAAAGTCATTTCACTCTTTGATATGGTTTGTAACACGTAATTTAAAGGGTTTTCAATGTCATTGAACTTAAAATCAATCTAAAATAGAGTTTCCAAAATCCAAGATGGCAGAAATTAAAAAAATGGCGGCCAGATTTTCTCTAAATTTATCAATTTTTAAGATAATCGTCAATTTTCTGTTTTGATATGGCTTGTAATATGTCCTCTATTAAGTTTTCAGAGTCACTGAATTTGATAGGGGGGTTGGATGACTGAATGGTTAGCATGCGCGTGCTGTATCATAAAGTCTGTCATTGAGTCGACTGGCGTGATTTTGAATCCCTGGTTGTACGTGGCAAGGAGTAGGGTCGCCTGTCCAACCTCGTGGGTTTTCTCCGGGTCCTCTGGTTTCCTCCCACTGCTAAAGACCCCTACGCACAAGCCAATTATGTAAATAAAATTAAACCATATGTTAGTCCCGAAATGACCTAGTTTGTGCTGAGTGGACGTTAAACCCCATTTCTCTCTCTTTCTCTCTGAATTTGATAATTGAAGATGATTGTTTCAGAAAAAAAAGGGACAATCATCAATCTTTCTCTTGGATTGGTTTATAATAGCAAATTGTAATACTTTTTTAAGGGCAACTTAATTTGACCTGACCCAGGAATCTACCTGTCAATAAATAAACCATGTGCAGAACTTACCAGTCAGCTAATTAGAATTTCAAAGAATTTAACCTTAAGACACAATAAATGTAGCTTAATTGTTTTTATGCATAAAACCCCCATAACAATACAACGGGGCCAACTGACGCATTTTTAATTTCATCTCCTTTGTCTTTGCACCATTTTACCGGAGTGAGAATCATTTGTGGTATATCCAGTCGTTAAGAATTTAAGTTCTCCTATTCGTTCAGAAATGGTAATGTGGTCCGTTTTTGCATCGAAGACTCCGTGTCCAGTAACTTTTGTGGTATAGTCTAGATGTTGTATCCACAGGTCATTTTCGTCAGTTACGTATTTCACAACAAGTTCTACATGTAAGAACAACACATAAGAAAAGAGGAAATCGTGGGGGATGACTTTTGGGATACCTAGTCGTAAATGCATTTCCAATTATTTTCGTGATGATTATTTTTAACTTAGAACTTGGTGTGCATTACATTACAGACGAATATGATCTGTGGATACCATACCACACAAGTTGCGGACACAGAGACTTCGATGATTCATTTTACACTTTTCACTTTATGAAATACATGACTGACAAATATGAATTCATCTGTCTAGATGATACCACAAACGGTTTCCGGACATAAGTCTTCTGAACAAAAGTTAATAAATATTGATATTCGTCAAGCAGTGTGCTATGAGGAAAATTGGCCAAGACAGTGGTACTATGGTGTACTCTTATTTCGAATTCCAACTGTCTAGGGTTCTTGTATGCGCACGTCAACGTGTACATATAAACCTGGTTTCTCGAGAAGCCCCCGGTGCTGCATCCTGACAAGGAGAAACCACACTGGAAAATCCTAAGGTACTTTTTCAGCAAACATAGGGATCGAACCCCAGATCTCGTTCTTAGCGAGTCTTACTCACTGAACCACTATTTCGAACCATTTCTGAATAAACAATAGATAAATTCTTAACAACTGGATATATATACCTCACTGTTTTGCTGGAATAATATTAAATCTTGTTTATGTGAGATCCAGTATAACAGTTCCAGTTACCATCAAAATAACTACTACTCTTTGCTATTACAAGCCAATCCCATAGGAAAATTCACGATTGTCCTGTTGTATTTTTAAGCAATCATCTACCATCTTCAAAATTCATTTTTGATGTAATATTCATTTTCAAAATTCATTTTTGAGGTAATATTCATTTTCAAAATTCATTTTTGAGGTTATTTTCAAGTTCGTGGACTTTGAAAACCTAATAAAGGACATTATTACAAGCCATACAAAACCGAAAAAATGACGATTATCTGAAAAATCGTTCATTTTAGGAAATTCTGGTCGCCATTTTGGATTTTGGAAACTCTTCTTTTGGGGTTGTTGAGTGACACAGAAAACCCTTTAAATCGCATATCACTCGCCATATCAAACTTAAAAATGACGATTATCCGAAAAATCGACCATTTTAGGGAAATTCTGGCCGCCATTTTGAATTTCCGCCATCTTGGATTTTGGAACCCTGTTATATTTAGATTAATTTTAAGTTTAGTGACACTGAAAATCCTTTAAATTACATATTATAAATCATATCAAAGAGTGAAATGACTTTTATGTGACAAATCAGCCATTTTATATTTTTGTATTTATTGATGTCAGTAAGATGTTACTATGGAGAAAGTAAATTTCAGATTATACATTCCAGACTTCGTAATTGTAAAAGTGCTCTAAACTTCCATAGATTTTTAATGCATATTTCACATAACCCGACATGCAGTTGTGGTCATACTCAAGAAGACAGCGACCATTATTTTCTGCACTGCCCAAATTATTCGTCTCAGCGTATCTCAACATTAAATACCCTCCCATTTAAATCCATAAATACAAAAGCGTTCCTATATGGCGATACCAACGAAAGTAACCCGTTCAACAAAGTGAGTTTTAGTAAAGTTCACAAGTATTTAAAACTAAACAAGCGCTTTGAATAGATAAGGTAATTGTCAGGCGACGATGATTGGTGTTAAATAGTGATGATGACGATGATGATGACCATGAAGATGATTTATTTATATATTTATTTATATACTAGAAGAATGCCCGGCTTCGCTCGGGGGTCATAACTCCGAAACCGGAAGTGGTAGACTAACGCCACCTGGCCTATGTTACTCCCCGGTATGAGCTACCCCTATACCCCAAATTTCAGACTCGGAAATGACAACGTGAATGATGGATCAGTCCAACGACAGAGTGAATGACAGGAGTTTTCCAGTCGAATAATAAAGATAATGGCAACGCTGGTCATAGCATATCTGTTTATAATATATTTCATATATAAATGTTTATACACGTATTTGAAAAATACATTTAGGTCTACGTGTAATGTTGAATGTATAAATTCGGAAATGTTTTGATCTCTTGAACTGTATTATTTAAAATACACGATTAACGTATTAAATTGTAAATAATGAATCAAGCCAAGACATGTATTAAATGTTTTAAATGTTTTATTGAATTGGAATAGAAACTGAAAACAGATTAACACCCTGTGTGAGATATTTCATTCAAATATTGTGAAAGGGTTGGTAATAAAATTAAAATTGTCATTGTGTCATTTTAATAACATTGAATCGTCCTATTCTGTTACGTAGTCGTCTCAACATATTGTTGTCATGGGTTACTTCTGCTAAACAACTCAATAGAAACGAGTAAAGTATACTATTCAAAAAAAGTAGGGGATATTTGATTTTGGGGGCATAATACTAAAATATGCAAATGACTACGAAAAAAGTCACTATAGAACCTAACAGAAGAAACATTTCCAGTTACATGTGACGCCCAAACGCACCAATAGCTACCGCATGGAATGCAGGTGATGCTTGGGATCATCATGGGGGTCCAACCCAAGATTTGCACGACTCTGACTTCGAATGTTACAGTCATTGTGGCATTGAATTCCAGGGTGGAAACATCAGTTTAATTGTTTTAGTGACCAGAAAACAAATTTTGATATGCGTCGGCTTACCCAAAATGAAAGGTTACGTGCCCTTGGCATGCTACAGATCGGCACAACACAGGCGGTTGTGGCGCGGACGATGAATGTTTCTCAGTCTGTCATAAGCAGGTTATGGTCCAGATACCGTGATACACAATCTGTACAGGACAGACCACGCTCAGGTCGACCAAGGGCGACAACTCAAGCCCAGGATCGATTTATCCGTACCTTGGCCTTGAGAAATCGTGTCATCACAGCAAATCAGATCAGCGCTCGTCTTCAAACAGACACTGGTGTGAGAGTGAGTGGCCAGACGATTCGGAATCGACTGCATAGGGGTCACCTTCGTGCCCGACGTTCTCGCGTGATCCCTTGTTTGAGAGATCATCACATTCAGGCAAGACGTCGTTGGTGTAGGGATCGTCAACACTGGGATAATCGACGCTGGAGCAATGTGATGTTTTCAGATGAGTCAAGGTTCACTGTTGATTTTTTGGACAGACGTAGGAGGGTGTGGCGTCGTCGAAACGAGAGCTTCCAAGACGTTAACGTCATCAGACATGATCGATTTGGGGGTGGTTCTGTTATGGTGTGGGGAGGCATCACTGTTGCTGGAAGAACGGCTTTACATGTTGTTGCAGGGCGTGTTACAGGCCAGTACTACCGGGACAACATCTTGGCAGTCCATGTTGTGCCGTTCGCACGACGTCATGGCCGCCGTTTCATCTTCCAGGATGACAACGCAAGATGTCACAGGGCCAGGATCGTTACAGGTTACCTCCAACAACAGAACATCTCCACATTACCTTGGCCAGCACTGAGTCCCGACCTCTCCCCCATCGAGCATGTCTGGGACATGCTTGGACAGAGGTTACGTCAACGTCAACAACGTCCTGCCAATGTCCAAGAACTTGCTGCTGCGTTGCAACAGGAATGGGACAATCTGGACCAAAATGACCTTAGACGTCTCATTAGGAGTATGCCACGTCGGATCAATGCTTGTTTGGCAAACAGAGGAGGATTTACCCGTTACTGACTTGGTTGTGATGCTGTGGTAACTTTGCTGTTTGACCCCGGGTATCATTTTACCCTTATAATGGTCAGTCTGTGCCTTACTTATTCTAACGATCATTTGGAATAAATCAATGAATGTGAACTTCATTTCATTTTGTCATTTGTTTCTTCGTCAGTTTCATTAGGTGACTTTAATAACACTTAAAAATCAAATATCCCCTACTTTTTTTGAATAGTATATTATAAACGAAATTATGTCTAAAGAGTTCTTCATGACATGTATTGACTGTAAGACACAAAGCGTACAGGATCTAAGTGTGATGTTAAAGGTCAACACGTAACTAGTGAACTGATAAATATTGTACAATTTATCTAAAGAGTACATTTATGAAAACGTGGTACTTTTCTGATATCTAGTTAAATTAACACTTACCCAGATCTTGGCATAAGCATGACTTAAAATGATCACGGCTAAAACACTTCCGTGCGAATCAAGAATTCTTTATGTAAGAATAGAGCTTTATAAGACCGTAAATGCACCACACATTATGTCTCCATAAGATGGTAGCTATATCAAACTTAAAAATGACGATTATCCGAAAAATCGACCATTTTAGGGAAATTCTGGCCGCCATTTTGAATTTCCGCCATCTTGGATTTTGGAACCCCGTTATATTTAGATTAATTTTAAGTTTAGTGACACTGAAAATCCTTTAAATTACATATTATAAATCATATCAAAGAGTGAAATGACTTTTATCTGACAAATCAGCCATTTTAGGTAAATTTTGGCCGCCATTTTGAATTTCCGCCATCTTGGATTTGGGGAAACTAGTTTGAGAGATTATTTTTTAAGTTCAATTACTAAATAACCTTATATATGATATATTACAAGCCATACCTTGCGTGATAATCACCCATACTATCTGGAAATTAATTTTTCGTCAAATTCTGGCGGCCATTTTGGAAATCAGAAAAAACCCAACCGAAAATGACGTCACAGAAGTAAAATAATCTCATAATCGTCTTCAGTGACAAATTTTGCCTCAGAAACAACCCGACCCCAAATTTTGTTCCGATTGTGACACCCCTACCATAATCCATGAAGTTATGGTCCGATACATACCAAGATCTTTGGGAGATAGACCTATATTTCAAGTTTCCTCAAAATCGGATAAAAATTGTGACCGGTAGAGTGTCCACAAATTAACTGTGGACGGTCGGACGAACAGGGGCGAGGGCATAATACATCCACATGAAAATGTGGGCGTATCAAAACACATTTCAAACAACCAAATTTCTCTACAATTAATAAACCATACCTGATGTAAAAATCTCTGTTTCTGTGATTCTATTGTAGGATAAGAGTTGATACATTTTAATGGCGAACCAACAATATGAAAATGATGCTGCCTGAAAAAAGAATTAGTACAGTGACTACACCTTGGATGCAAAAAATCAGCAATGAAACATAAGCCCTCGATCAGTTTTGTTGTCCGGGTCAAACAACCAAAAATTGTCAGAATTTTAGTGTAACTATTGCATTAATATCAAAAATCAAAAGCCACAAAAATTCAATAAATTTCATAAAAATCCAATCTAAGATATTAACATGATTTTGTAATCAAGTGACATAACTCATGAGGTATTGTATTGAAGTACTTACATAAACATACCAAAAGCATCATGTGGATTAATTTGTTCATAGAGTACAAAAATACTGTTACCAAAAGTCTCAGAACCCCAACCAACAACAGACGTTGAACTGAAAAGACAAAGCTCTTATCAAACCAATTTCATATACATGTACCAACCCTATTTCAAGCTTATATTGCAACACATCATAAATTTCTAGTTACATAGCCCAGTTTCTATATGCCCACAATTCATGTGGACATGTTTTATAGTCACGTGTTCCTTTCATCTATCGGTCCATCAAACTTTACTTTTCAACACTCTAACACTACTGTTTTTCTTGATTGCTTGTCAAATTTGCAGGGGTTGATCAATATATCATTAAAATATCAGACAATCACACATGTACTAACCAAACACATTTTTAGAATATCAAAACAAACATATATATACCTACCATCTACGGGTCATGTATGTTAAAACACATTCAGATAAAATAACGGTTGGTAAATCAAAATCTACACCAGCCATTCTTAATGCTGCATCTAAAATATTTAACTGTGTTAAATCTACTCCCAGTAATTTGTAATCTACAGTATTTATTTCTGAAAAAGAAACAAAAATATGCACCCAATTATCTTCCAAGCAAATGCACAGATCTTACTTTTAGTAATTTTGAATTTTAAAAGTTTATTTTCTGAAGATTTTTATTCCCAAAAATGATTAGATATTATACTAACTAAAGACGGTAAGATTAGACATCAAAGCAATCGGGTCTAATACGGTACGTACAATCATGTATTAATATCTGAATATTATTTTGTATTTCACTAACCTAACAATGGTGATTTTTCTGTACATACTTCCTTCTCTCCCAATAACTGATGTAATGCCGGCTGATTGGATATTAAAGCATGCTTACGTTTTACTAATTCCGGAAAATCAATCTGTGTTATTAGAAAAAGAGAAAAATTTAATTAATATAGAAATGATTTAGTCCTACGAATCAAACATGCTAACAGCAGTATATAAAACATAGCATTTCCATATTTATGACGACATATTCCGTACCTATCTATGAAAGAGATGATTTCCTGTGGCAAGTCAATAAATGTTTCATTTTGATATAACTTTTTTCGATTATATAATTACCTCCACAAAAATGGTGTTTTCTAGTTGGCCGGTTGACTTCAGACGGAAGAAAGATGTATCAAATCCAGCTCCGATAGATATTATCTGGAAAACAAATTCAGCCAATGTTGTTGAGTATTGAGGAAGATTATCCAATTATATTCTACGAACTGACATAACGAACACAAGTAGAGGAATCAACTTTTTAAAATTTTCCTGATGCTTCCATTCAGAACTAGACTAGCAATTGTCAACTTGAAAGGGTACAAAACTGTCTCCATAATTAAATGTTAAATGATCAAAGTGGATTAAGCCATTAGAATCTTGATATTTTAGCTAAAACTGCAAATGATGCATTGTTACTTTAAGGGTAGCACTTGATCTCTTTCTTTTATGTGCACTAACTTATAACAGAGACTGCCATGGCCTCAAAGTGACAAGGAATGCATGTTCATCATGTAGCTAAATCTAAAAGAAATGTAGCTTATTACCTGTTTTGACCCTTGATGCTGTAGTAGAAACTTCCTAAGAATATGATCAATAGTTTTTACTCTAATATAGTATCCCCTATAAAATAAAATAATTTCAAGTTACTATCAAATGCTGAATCTGTAAGAAAGACGGGAAGTATTACTCTGCATTTCTAAAATTAGTATCAAAGCAAACAACTTGAACTATCATTGCTTACATTTGATATCAAAATTGAGACCCAAGTGAAGAGAAATAATTGCTGGTAGAATTTTCAAATTAGTAGCTGGAACAGTGATTCAGTGGTTCGGATATTTCTACTAATTTTTTATTGATGTCAGCTGCAGGTGGTATAAACAAGTCTTGCTTACCTATTAATTAATGGTGCTCTTCTTTGACATTTGTTCACAAAATACTCATAATATGGATCTTCAAAATATCCCTGAGTTACCATAGAGTATTTACTGATAATACTACTGTCATTTGTTCCTTGAACCTGCAACATACAAGAGACTTCATTTAGATTAGAAGTACAATGTACATTACAAATTCTGATGGCCTAAACTACATGAAGATCTGACAAGTTGTAATCGAAGGTAGTGTCAGAGATGGATAGAGAACAAATTTAAAAAATAAAATGCGATTTTCCATACTTTTACACTATTTACGTACGAGGAAGGAGGCAATTTTGTCGGGCAGTTTTGTTTCGATTATCCCGAAATTCAAACGAAATCTTCAATATGGTGTAACAGTGATGCATTAAAACGATTTTTAAAATTGGATAAAAATTGTGACTTCCAGAGGGTAGGCCTACACAAGCTAAAAACATGATTTTTTTCGTACACAAAGGGCCATAATCCAGGAAGTTACGGTCCGATATACGAGAACATCAAAAGGAACCAAGATCTTTTGTATACATGTACATATAAATCTTAAGTTTCATTAAAGTCAGATCAAAATTGTGATTTAGAGGGTCCACAATCTTGATATTACATACTTTAACAATATTAATTTAATAATTAACATTATATATTATATGATTATTTGAGTAGATGGAGCGGCCATTTTGTCCGTCAGTTGCGGTTCGATTTTCACAAAATTCGAACTCAACCGTTATTATGGTGTAACAGTTATATATTCAAAAGTTTTTTTAAATTGGTTAAAAATTGTGACCTCTAGGCTAGTGGCAGTAGTGCGGCTCTAGAGGGACCACTGCGGCACTAAACTAAAAAACACGATTTTTCGTACAATTTTTCATTATCGAAATCTTTTAACTCCGAGACTACCCTGGCCTCTATCAGTTTTATTTATGTTTACAGACGTCGATCTGGGTTTTAAGGGATTTCACGATCTTCCTATAATTCAGTGATCCGGACCTGACCAGACCCGACCGACCAACTCAACATTCAACATGGCGGGGAGGCGAGAGAAAGTAGAATATTGTAGTTATATACCGCAGTGTCACGTCTACTTTTCGGATTTTTTCGCTTATGGCTTGCATCAGAATTGGACTGCATCTTGTGACATATAGGACTGATTATTAATTATCTGACTAGAAATCGCCAATAATCTTTCAGACGTGCTATAAATTCTTTTCACGCAACTTTCCAGGCGCCATCTTGTCCGCAGAGTAGTCTGTCCTTGAACTTGGTGGATTGGGTACTGAATATTCACTGCTGATCAGTTTGTTCTCTTCTTATAACTTATTACTTAAAAGTTGTGTAATGGACCTTATTTATATATTTAGGGTCATTCGTGGTTGCACAAAGATGGGTGCATCTGGATTAGCTAGATAAATATTAGAATTCAAATTAAAAATCGAAATGTAGTGCGCAGCTGTTTCACACTTGTTCTGTTATTGTGTTGGCTTCCAATACTCTCAATAATATGATTATGTATTGTTCCCGCCTCCGTATTTCCCGTCTTAAGAAATATATAGCTAATAAAAAAAATACAACAAATAAAATTCACATTACAGAGGTGGGAATTCGTGTTAAAATTTTAACCGTGAAAAAATTCCTGTGTTGCAGAATTCGCACTATTGCTATTTTAATTTCCATGGTTTTGGAATCCACAAACTTTTTATACGCCCACATTTTCAAGTGGACGTATAGGCTATTTTGTTTGTGGACACTCGACTACGGGTCACAATTTTTATCCGATTTTAACGAAACTTGAATTAGGCCTATATTATATGTTTGTCCCTAGTTAAAGATCTTGGTTCCTTTCGAAATTGCCATGTGTCTGTCCGTAACTTCATGGGTTATGGTCCCCGGTACGAAAAAAAAATCACGTCTGTAGCTTATGGACCCGTTAGAGGTCACAATTTGTCTTCAGTTTTAAAAACCATTTAAATACCTTAATGAAGGTTGAGTTCGAATTTCGTATAACTTGGGCCGAAACTCGAAACTACCGGACAAAATGGCCTCTCCTAGTAGCCTGTACGCAAATATTGTAAAAGTACGTAATAAGCCTACCAAGATTGTGGACCCTCTAGAAGTCTCAATTTTTATCCGATTTTGATGAAACTTAAAATGTATGTTTATATCCAAAAGATCTCGATTCCTATCGATATTCGTACATATCGGACCCTAAACTTCCTGGATTATGGCCCCTGATTGTCCGAAAAATCACGTTGTTTAGCTTGTGGACCTTCTAGAGGTCACAAATTTTATCCGATTTAAAAAAAACCAAAACGTTTAAACATATCACTGTTACACCCTAATGATGGTTGAGTTCGAATTTCGTGAGAATCGGACAGAAACTGTCCGATAAAATGGCTGCTACTTGTACGCAAATAGTGTACATTGCAAGTAGGCCTATGTAATACCAAGGTTGTGCGTCCTCTAGAAGTGACAATTCTTATCCGATCTTGATGAACCTTAAAATATATTTTTATATCCAAAAGATCTCGGCTCCTTTCGATATTCGTACATATCGGACCGTATTAACTTCCTGGATTCTGGCCTCCAATATTAAGTAGTCTCTATCATTAAGACAAATATTCTACGAATATACGTCGAAGATTAGGGGTTTCTGGGTGACCGAGACTAATATTAAGTTGTTCTCTGTCCATCTCGTGCAAAATGTGAGCGTATCTTGCATGGCAACCTCTGGTTTGTTATTATTTTAATTAGATGCGCTTGTTTATTTACTTTCACGCAAAATCAAAACTGCACATCAGCAATAAATTATCTATCATTAACTGCTGGCAAACAAATCTTTTTGAAATAAATAAAGTTCGCTTGTTGAAATCAATAAATAGAGCTTTAATGTACCATAATGAAAGAACGGTGTGAAATGTATAGCGTATTTAAAAGCGTCGGTAACATCTGTTCCAGTCGAACAGAGTGTATTATGTTTCGTTATCTCGCTGGAATATTAATGCATGACTATACCAGTTACTTGAAATAGCCCTATATACAAGACCTTCACAGCTTACCGGTTTCACTCAAGTGCTGCATACCGCTAACTCTTACTACTTCACTGTAGGCGTATATATTTATAACTATATCACGCAAAATACGACCACTGACAAATTGCCTCTGTACCTCACACTATTTGTTTTGAGATTTTGCTGACATAGAAAATAGGTTAACCTAACGAAAGCAGGGATTCAGCACAAAACACCATGTCCAACGAGTTTCAACACGGATTATTTGGATGTTTCGATAATCTAGGATTGTGCATCATCTCCTATTTTGTTCCTTGTTATCAGTTTGGTAAAAATGCCGAGGCCGTGGGAGAAAGTTGTCTGCTTTGTGGTATTCTCTTCCTAATTCCCGTTGTAGATCTGTTCCTAGGAGCACATATTCGAACCAAGATACGAGACTCGAAAGGTATTGGAGGAAGTTTTGTGGGAGATTTATTATTTTGGTTCTGCTGCCCTTGCTGTGCTTTAGTGCAGGAAGCCCAAGAAGTGGAAGGTGTGCGAACGCAAGCAATTGCGCGGGAATAAACTATATAGAACTATTACTAAAGACTTCTCCCTTCTCTATATCGCAAGTGCAACTTAATGCGCCATTTTGATTCCGATGGGTGTGGTTGGAGATATTCTTTTAACTGTTAAATAAATCTAAATTTCAAGTTCGGAGGAACAATTATACCACTTTACTTATGTAGATATGAAGATTTGAAAGAGTTCTGGAAATTTAATTAACGGCTTAAATAATGATCATATCAAAATATATGTGTGGCCTATGCATAAAATGGTTCGATAAAAATTTTGATTAGAATTGATAACTTATTTAAAAAGGCGCGTGTTTAAAATTGTCATACGTGTTAAAACTCCTGATCGATTGGTGGATAATAAAAATAAGGCCATATTTATATAGGTCGTACGCGTCAGCAGATGCGTGACTCAAACAGCAGCTAATTAACAATATAGACATGCTTTTATCTTCTATCAGTCTTTTTAAAATGTTATTTGATTTCCCAAACACTTGAAACAGCTGACGCCAACCTTGCCTATATTACGCTTTTATCATGCCTTGCCGTCATATATTTTATGCAACATTTCTAATATCCTGATGTATATTATGCTCATGTTTTCTACTTCAACAATAAAACATGTTCAAGTTTCACTTCCTTGTGTTTTAATGACATTCCAATCTTGACCTCAAACCAACACAAACTTTGCTGCTTGGAATGCCTGTGTTTAATACGACATGAAATGGAAATAAAATCTTGGTTTGATTGGATCTAATTATACGTGTATTCTGTTGGTCACCCCAGGAGTGTAAAAATGTTAACGGAACTACATTTTGGTATACAATTAGACTAGGTTTCGATTCCCCGGTTGTACGTGACAAGGAGTGGAGTCGCCTGTCCAACCTCGTAGGTTTTCTCCGGGTCCTCCCACTGCTAAAGACCCCTACGGGCAAGCGAATTATTGAAATAAAATTAAACCATATGTTAGTCCCGAAATGACCTAGTTTGTGTCGAGTGGACGTAAAACCTCATTTCTCTCTCTATCTATTCCGCCCAAGGTCTATTACGTTCACGTTCACATTAAGCGAGATAATCAAATTCAGATGCAAATAACTTGCCCGAAACCGCTTCTCAATCAGTAGAAATACCCTTTAGCTTTAAGTTAATTTTGAAACATTTTCCATTGTTTAGGCCCAATAGCTAAATTTACACAACATGTTATTATGCAGTGAGTGTCTCCTAGACTTGTGTTGGCTACAAGTTGAACTTGACAAGTGATAAATAATTGCATTTTGAACACGCAAGGGATCAGTAGGGTGTAAGCAGGGAGAAAAGGACATCCAATTAAATTAGAATATGAAATTTTTGGTATTGTAGAAATGTTTAGTATTGGGACAGTGAATTTTAGTAGTTATTATCCGTCACATTTCCCAGAAGCGACCTAGTTGAGTTCACAAAGTAAATTAGAGTATGGAATTTTTTGTATTGTAGAATTTTTTGGTATGGGGACAGTGAATTTCAGTAGTTATTATCACATTTCCCACAAGCGACCTAGTTGAGTTCACAATGGGGAGGTGCAGAGGTGTAATTGTCTTCACTACAATAGAAAATTCTCTCGGATTAACATCCGAATTTATCATTATTTGTCAATTTTGTATAAACTTGCAATATTTCTATTTAAAGGGAAAATCCCTGATTGTAATAGTCTCGGAAACAAAAATGTGGGTATGAAATTTAAGCGCCAAAATATACAGGCGCCAAAATATTTCAGTTCGAAATATTGAGTCGTTAAAACCTCTTATCCGGATATGTAACCCTTATTTTAAGGGTTCGATTCCCTTTTTTTTTTCGTTGGGTGATAATTTAGAGATCTATACAGTGCATGACCTACGTGCTGCACTTGATGACGAAAGGTACATTTCACTTACACGATATTTATATAAAATAAAAGTCTGGTTTTATCCAGACACTGTATAATACTGCTTAGGACACAGGTCTCCGTTTACAGATGACGACTAACAGGTTTAAGTTGTTTGAAAACGTAACATGTATATTGAGTTAGTTGCTCGCCCCAAAGGTAGAGGATTTGGGGGACTTTTAACACATAGTCGAGATTGGCCCTTTAGATAAGACACTAGGAAGATGAAAATGTAATTATCATTTTTATACGCCCACATTGAAATGTGGTCGTATATCGTCGTCGCCCCCGTCGGTCCCGCCGCCCGTCGCTTGTGGACGCTCTAGAGGCTAAAGTTAATATCAGATTGACTTTAAATTTATACACAGTGTTAAGGTCATGAGACGAAGAAGCCTATTGATTTTCAACGATTTCCGATAATTACTGCCAGAGTTACGGCCCTTGATCACTTCAAAAAATCTTGTGGACGCTTTAGAGGTCAAAGTTAATATCCGATTGACTTTAAAATATACACAGTGTTTAGGGCCATGAGATGAAGAACCCTTTTGATTTTCAGCGATTTCCGATAATTTCCGATAGAGGTATGGCCCTTGATCACTTCAAAAAATCTTGTGGACGCCATAGAGGTCAAAGTTAATATCCGATTGACTTTAAATTTAAACTGTATAAGGTCATGAGACGAAGAATCCTATTGATTTTCAGCGATTTCCGATAATTACTGCCAGAGTTATGCCCCTTGATCACTTCAAAAAATCTTGTAAATGCTCTAGAGGCTAGAGTTAATATCCGATTGACTTTACATTTATA